TAGGTAGATAGATATAAAGATGCGATAGACAGATATAGATATGAGATAGATAGATAGATAGATAGATAGATAGATAGATAGATAGATAGATAGATAGATGGATAGATGATAGGTAGGTAGATATAGAGATGAGAGAGATATAGAGATGAGATAGATAAATATAGAGATGAGAAAGATATACAGATGAGAGAGATATATTAGATAGATTTATATCTGATGAGAGATGGAGATGATAGACAGATATATAGAAATGAGATAGAGATAAATACATAGATATGATAGATATGTAGATATGACAGATAGATAGACAGACAGACAGACAGATAGATAGATGATAGATAGATAGGTAGGTAGGTAGGTAGATATAGAGATGAGATAGATGAATATAGAGATGAGATAGATGTACAGATGAGATAGATATAGATAGATTTATATCTGATGAGAGAGATGATAGACAGATATAGAAATGAGATATAGATACATAGATATGATAGATATGTAAATATGATAGATAAATAGAGAGATAGAGTCGATACAGTAGATGGAAGGAAGGAAGGATTTTTTTCAGTTGCAGCAATGTTTAAAGGCCCTTTACATCTGGGGGCTTCTTCTGGGAAACTTCTCCTTTTTGGGGTGGGAACCCCCCCCTCCTGAAGGCCAGGGACTACAAGCTGCCTCCTTTTTCAACTCCTGCCACCACCACCACCCCCCCCCGATGCCCTACGAAAGAGGCCATTTCCCAGCCTTTGCCTGAAGGGGAACCGGGTGACCTCCAAAGTCACTTTGAGGGATTTATGACTCACCCCCAAATCCCCCAGGACCCCCCCCCCCCATTCCTTTCTGGGGTCCTGCCCCCCCTAATCTCCCTTAATCGCAATTTATCTTTTTGTCATTCTCATTTCACTAACTGGACCCTTCTGAGCATTTTTTGGGGGGGGGCTCTCTCTCCCTCTCCCCTCTCCCTTTTTCTCTTGGACCCCCCCCCAAATTCAATGAATGGGCTGGGTGATCCTGGAAGGTGGAGACCCCTCCCCATCCTCTCTCCCCCCNGAAATTCAACGACTATGGCACAAACCAGCAGTGGTAATTCCAGTGGTAATTGGCACACTGGGTGGGGCCCGACTAGTAACCAATGCCAAATCCGGCGAAACAACTGGCTGCTGTGATACAATTGTAGAATAATAATAATAATAATAATTCACCGGTTTTGTCTTTAACCTTCAAGCCCTTGAAATAGTTAAATGAACAAGTGGAAACTTTACGTGGATTTTAGTTGCCTGGAGTTTTTCCGCCAAAGAGATTTTGCTCAACCCCGAGGACAACTACCTGTGTCACCACCGTCATCCGGAAAATCGAGTTTTCTCTTTCTTTCTGACAAGGTGTGCAAAAGGCAGAGGAAGGAGCGAACTGTCCCGAAGATGAGCCGCTGAATTTCTCCCAAAATAGGCCATGCCATCATGCCACCCTTGGGGCGATGCCCGTGTTAATCCAGGTGTGGCTCTTGTGTCCATCCAACCGGTTTAAGAGGCAGTGAACACAGGTAACACCTTAATTTAATCCGTGTCTTTTCCAGGGTGGCAGGAGGATTGAAAACACACCCACTGGAGGGGGGAAAATAATCTAATCTAAGGGAGATATTAATCATCCTAAAAGCTCCGGGGAAAAATAAAGATTTGGGATTCAGCTTTGCCTTGCTTAGAATTTGTAAGATTTTCCAGGTGGGGGAAAAACAATCTTTTTTCCTTTTTTTAAAAGCATCTTCCTCCTTTCCTGATTTTTTTATTTTTTAAATAGGCTGCTGATTTTTCCCCTCTGCCTTCAGCAAAAAGTTAAAGCAAGCTCCCCTCCTGGTTGGTTGGTTGGTGTTGGGGATCCCAGTCCCCATAAGGCTTTGCCACGGGGCTGGTGGCTGGGGATGATGGGCCCGCGGAGGAGCTGAAGCCCCTAATTTGCATTTGGCATGGGAAGAAAGGATGGACTTTTATATCCCTTTCCTCAATTTATCAGATCTGGAGGGGAAGATTGAGGCCGCGTTGTCTAGGGAGTATTTTTTTGCGGGGGGGGGGGGAAGGAATCTTTCCCTTCTGCCTCCTCCCCCCGCTTTGCTTTTTCTCACGCCTGTGTCTCCCTCCACCAATTCACCCCCTCCCTCCAAAGCGAGGCCTACACGGGGTTCAAAGGCAGCACACTGGGCAAAGTCGGGAAACTTGAGTTTGCGGAGCAAATCCCAGCGTCTTAGTTGCAGGCAAGGGAATTTGGGGAAGGGGGGGGCGCCTCGGACCCCAGGAAAAGAGCAACAAATAAAGTTTGTGTGTGTGTGTATTATATATAAAATGCCTTGCTTGATCTGCAAAGCATTGCTACAATTGATAAAGAACAGTAAAAGGGAGAGGCAATATAGATAGAGGTAGAGAATATAGATAGATAGATAGATAGATAGATAGATAGATAGATAGATAGATAGATAGATAGATAGATA